GATCAGAGTTTCCAATTGCAGTGATGCCCAATACAAGTCGGTGCCTTTGAAATGTTTGATCTGGCATCTAATAATAAAAGGTCGGGTATTCACTGAAATCAATGTATCGCATACACTGCGGTATATGCCATACTCACCTGCGAGATATGTCATAAATATGAGTATGGCATATTCATCCGTATCACAAGTACCGCGCAGCCATGAATATATCGTCCCAAAAATGAGACACTTTTGTGAACAAGTGTTTTCTCGGCAACTGATGAACAAATTGACTGGTTTGTACAAAGTAGCCTAAGAGTATCATTGGCATGTTGTAGAAATATAAAAAAGATCGAGTAAAAATAATGCACACAATATGTGACCAATCTCTTACACATTCATAGCACTAGCGAAAGATACCATAAAGTGTCCCAGGTAAAGATTTAAAGAATTTGGTTCATCTATCGCTGAGAAATTACTTCCCAGTTTTGATACAAACACTATGAAGTTGTCATTGCATTGCTATGGTATAGGATCTTTTGACATGCTATCTTGAATTTCTTAGTACTCACATAACACTTAATTGATCTTTCTCATATTTTTGTACCTTGTACACGATACTCTTGGGCTATTTTGTACAAATTTTCAGTGAATTTGATTCAGCAGTTGCCAAGAAAATACTTGTCAAAAGGTGTCCCATTTTTGGGATAGCCGATATGCCATATTCCGCGTAACACTGCAATAACACAGATGCCAGTAGGTACACGTAGTTACAAGTTTCACCACCAGGTGACTAATTCGGGTCAGATAATTATGGCAGATGATATAGCTGAAAGTTCCCTTATGTATCTGATAGTTATACAAAATGTCTTAGCTGTCCAATAAAACTAAATACATTTCACTTTTTGTGATTTTATAACATTGGGTCTTTCCACGAGAATCTACCTGACCAAGAAGTCCCATTTTCAAAGGAATTTAATTGATGAATACTTTTTGGAATAGCACTTCTAGACGTAATTTTACATGTAGATTTCAAATATGTCATCTGAATTTTGATTTTAATTTAAGATTATTTCCACTCGCATCTAGTCTATTGAAAGAATGAATTATTTTCTTGGAAAATACATTCTTGTTCTGAAGGAGTATTAGTCATTTGAGTTTTATGTTTGTTTCATTCGGCAAAATATTTACAAACATATTATAACAATATGACGCAGAGTGTAAATTGTGTTTAAAAGGATATCTTATCAAGGTCATTTCTTTTTTATAAGAAATAACATGAAGGGTGATATTGAATAGTTAAATCACTCAGAGTCAATGATCCAAAATTAATTGTAACTGATCGGATTGTTATTAGAACGGCAACACTTACCGCGATTGTATTCTGCATCATGTCTCCCCGGAAATTCGATATCTCTGATGTCTGTTTCAATCGATTAATGAGCATTTTGTGATAATCCACAACAAAAAGGTTACATACGAATATTGTATATTGATAACTTGGAGAAAAAGAGAGCTTCATGGTATATCCATTAATGTGATACAGTCATACTTTTCAACCTAAACATTTTGAAATTCCGGTTTGATTTTTTTTAAACATCCGAGTTGTTTAAAATTACAGGTTTAATCCGGGATGAGTTTTATTGCAGTTTTTTCTGCAGTTATCCTGTTTTTAGGAAACTTTGGATAAAATCATTCCAGAATAAACTATAGTGTATATATATATGTACAGGATGGGCAAATAAAAATGGGACAATCACATATATATTCTGTTCAAAAGAACAGATTTGAACCAAATGTTATGAAAATAAGCCAGTATATATAAAGTATGATAGGTTGATAACGCATCAGATATTGAAACAATATCATCTATGGTAGCTAAATCTTTAAAGAAAGCATTCATAATGTACTGTAGTAGTGACGTTTCTGAGATTGAGCGCTATTATCACAGATAGAGGCAGACATATTTTTCAAGAATTTATTCAATTTTAGTTTGTAAAATCTTTTTTTGTAAAGTCTAAGAATGATAAAAAGTGTAACATTTTTATTGCCCACCTTGCAAATATATTCCAAACTGTCAATACGATTTCCCCATAGTTTATGACTTTCAAACCTAAAATCGTGGCATTTTCTGAATTTGAGAGGGCTGCTGAGTATAAAAATGGTCGGGGTACCGAATGCGTCAAAGGTCATATATTGAGACATGTCACATTTTACGATTTACATGTAAACGTATTTAACAGTCTATTTTCTATAATGCCTTGTTCACGGTGCTCATGTCAAGCTGCGCGCCTACTTAGGCACGCAGTTTGTTTCGATCACAAACTACAAATGTCATTAATCTAAAATGAATTAGAAATTATTTTTCTATTTTCAAATTTCTTCCATGTGCATGTAATAAAAATTGGTTATGTCTTAGGCCCTAAGGATCTGAAACCTGCTGGTCAAAATGGAATTACGGACCAGTTGCAAAGTTATTCTCCTATACCCAGTGAAAAAATCAACTGGTCTGTATCACAAATAACCTGATATTGACCAGCGGACCGGAATGTGCTGGGAGGTTTAGGCTACAGGGTTAATACCGAGGGAAATATGTGGGGGACCATATTGGCATCATTGGTTTCAATGCATTGTACTTCTGCCTTAGTTTCAAAGGCAATAAATTCTTTTTGAAGGGTGTCCTGAGATTCCAAAATTAAGAAATAATTGTACTTATTTGAGAAATTGATTTTAAAGTTTTATAAATTGAATTTTCTTTATTTTATTAAATAATATTCTTTGGTTTTTGAAGATTTTTTTACAAAGCAAAACATTATTTTTCATTCTAGATACAATAACATGCATATTGGCATACTTTGTTTTAATATAAGATTGTTATATAGGGTGTCCAAAAAACAGGAAAGTTGAATAACTCGGTCAATTTTGCATATTTTGCCTTGACATTTCAGAATTATTTAGTTCATTCAATGTGAATTTTGTTGTGAAAGTTAGATAATAATCTATCAATTGAGTCAAACACTACAGCTATTTACAAAACATGCCCCAAATGTGCACCTCTCCTCTCTATGAACAATTCAATCCGGCGAAAAAAGTTGTCGATGATCCTCCTCCACACATGTCTTTCTGAATGGACAAGTTTGTTCCAAGAACAATTGCTACTGGGGCTTACATCCTCCTGATGAAGTGTTACAGCATCCATTGCATTCTGAACAATGCACTGCCTGGGTGGCAATGAGGAAATATGGAATCATCAGTACTTTTTGGTTCGAAGGTTGACTGGGGACGTGTTATCACCATAAACAAGGGCCAGTAAGTTCTCACTAAGTTTTGGAGGTCACTAAGCACCAGAAGGGACATCTGAGGAGATAAGCAGTGGTTTCAACAAGCCACTGCCACCCCAACACTGCAAATGATATGCTGAAATGGTTTAGGCAATGCTTTGGTGGTCAGCTCATCAGTTGCAGAATGCAAACCATATGGGCAGCTCATTCGCCAGATCTAAATCCCCCAAATTTTTATCTTTGAGGATTTCTCAAAGCCAGTGTGTATACTGACAGGCCCCTAACAATCTTAAGAGGGCAATGACTACCCCCAATATGTACCATCCACATCAATGTGTATAGGTTAGGGTCATTAACAACTTGGTTCACACTATTCGTTTGTGCATATAGAGGAGAAGTGACCACTTTGAGCATGTTTTGTAAAGTACTGTACTTTTTGACACCATGAACAGATTCTCATCAAACTTTCACAACAAAATTCACATTGAATGAACTAATAATTCTACAATTTCAAGGCAGAATATGCAAAATTGACCGAGTTATTCAACTTTCTTACGGTCCTGTTTTTTTTTGGACACCCTGTAACTCCAAGTTTTGCAAGTCACATGACCAAATCTTAGAGAGTTGATTGGTTGAAACAGTTGATATCAGATATGACAATTTGAAATTAGAAATAAGCTGTTATTCCGGTGGGAAATTGTATCAACTCCATTTCCATAGTTTTAAAAAAGGATCTTGTAAATTGTTTCAAGGTATGATATTTCATATAAGATATCTCTAGGGTGAGACCAGGTGACATACAAAAAATCAAGTTTCACATAGCAATACTAAGAAGGATACAGACCTCTAAACTTTTAAACCTTGATTTCTCAGTTCCGTAAAAATGTGAGATAGTACAAAGTTATTCTCATGCGACGATATGTGCCTTACATATGGTGCTTACGTTTTCTAATAATACAAAACAGGCTTGGATAGGCAAGCAGTTCGGAAATATTAGGCACGCAGTTTGGGAAATACATGTGAATATAGGCGCACAGTTTGACAAGAAAAAATGTTTAAATCACGTTTATGGCGTATTATCGTTTTGAACACAAACTATGCTGCTTTAATCAGATGGAGTGATCTTATATATTCTAGCATACACAGACACAATGGCTGAATAAACGGCAAATGACGATAAAAAGACATAGATATAACTTTACACTGTAAATTTTGAACACAGAAGTTACTTAAGACCCTTATATTGAGATAACTAGGTTTACATCGGGAACAACATTGAGTACTATGAGTAAATTAAGTTCATCTTCACAGAATGGTACTATCTTTAGAACGAGACTAACCTTGTATTTTTCGTACTTTGACTCTTTTTGGGAGTCGTGTCCTCCCCGTCTTCCATTTTGAAATATGCGCGCAGTTTGTCAGAGTTTCAAACTGCGTGCCTAGTAGGCACGCTGCTTGACATGGGCATCGTGTTGTTTATAATTAAAACGTTAAAACATTTACATAGTATTTACATACTTAGTACTTACACCTAATAATGTGGTTCATTTGTTGTCGAAAGTAGTCCAGAGAAGACCAAAATTGGAACTTGCTTGAAATGTAAATTCACTGTTACACCTGATTGAGGGAAAAAATTAGATGATATCATGACTTTCATCTGCATGTACTAACACTGTACTTTGTTCACTCAAAAAATGTTAAACTCTAGTTGTATTTTCAGATAACGTGTCGAAGCTATTTATGATCGTGGTATCGCAAGCGTTGGGTGGAGCCCCGGATGGAGTATTTGTAGAGGAAACGGAAGTCGGTATGGGAAACCACACCTATCAACAGATTTTCAACGCTAGTGAAATGGATAATGCAACAACTAAACCACATTATGATTTTTTCGTTTTGTCTCAATTTATCGCAGCGCTAATATGTTTTCCAATAATTTGCACGTTCGGAATTATCGGAAACATTCTCAGTTTGATCGTACTTCAACAAAAGAAAATGTCCAGCTCGACAAATACATTTCTTTCAGCCATGGCGATTGCAGATTCAATTAAATTGATAAATGATGAGATATATTTCGTGGTGATATTGATGCAGCGCTATAATCCCGAAATGAGCCAAACGGGATTTGTACACATATATCCCTACTCCCATTTTGTTTTCAATTGTGCAATGTTGATAACATCTTGGATAACTGTCAGTGTTGCAGTGGAACGCTACATCTCAGTGTGTCATCCTCACCGTGCTAAAAGTATGTGCACTATCCCCCGGGCCAGACTAGTAAGCTCTTGTGTCGCAATTGGCATGGCCATAGTAGCTTTGCCATCAGCCTTCAAATACCACACAGTCGTCTCTAAGCCATCGGATAATTCAACCCAGGGGATAGTTAATATGACTATAGAATTGACATCATTTGGAAAAGACGTGTATGCTATGAACATATACACATGGATTCAGACTCTACTGCGCTCCATTATTCCGTTATTTGTGCTTGTATTTATTAATGCTTCAATAATACGTTCCCTTGGGAGATCGAAAATTCAGGGAGCCGCTAGTGCTGCCAGATATAGGATCACCGTCATGTTGGTCGCCATCATCGTCGTCTTCCTTATTTGTATCACTCCTGACGCCATCATGTCAACCTTTCTTGGCCTTGGTTACTACGAGGCTAACTATCTGGTGCGTGGTATCAGGGAATTCACTGACTTGCTGCTTGCCATCAACTCCGCTGTTAATTTTGTATTATACTGTACATTTAGTAAAGTTTTTAGAGAAACGTTTATGACTTTCTTTTGCAAATGCCACAATATCCATAACGACTCGAAAAGTATTAATGATTATACAAGCGTTAAACATGATAACCACGAGAATTCAACAAAGAGAGAACGATTGAACACGGCAGAAACGGCGTCGAACCAGTCGACCCGACCGCTGTTCAACGGACATCTGCAGACGGTGAACAAAACAATTTCTCTGTCACATGGCCCACAAGAATTTGTCTAAATTCCAAAGTGATGTTAAAGTGCATGTGTGTCAATATTTGTTTAGGCATGATAAACAGCGTTATCTCGAAGTCTCTCACACGTGATCTGCATCCGAGACCATAGCCAAGTGTTACGTGACTTCATCAAGTAGATCAAGAATCCAATTTTTTATGGAGTTTACTGTGACGGTTTCCCTAATTAACTAATAATTTGCAGTCGATTGATTGCCTGTGTATCTTTGGATTCACATTGCAAAAACGTGGTTTGCACTTAGATCTATGACTGACTTGTAAATCAGAGATCAACCTCGGAATATTTACTTTGTGCGATGAAGAACGTGATGTACAAGAATATTATAATTAGTCTGCCAATTGATCGGCTAACTGTCTTGTTTTAAGCATGGTTTCGTTACAGTGCTACTTAGTCCGTTACTTAGACTATACTTAGACTGTATAATGTACCATTGATAGTTATACGTGTATAGCTGGTTTTCTATGATACATATTCTAAACATGCTCGTTTCGTAAATTATTTGGAGTTAAAACATGTATGACATACATCATTTTCTTCAGAAAACATTATGCTGTGCCTCGAAATCAAAGTCTTAATCTTAAAATCTCATGAAAACGAGAATTCCAAAGCTAAACAGAAACACATCTATTAGCGCTTGTTTTGTATGCGCTCTCTATACACATTACTATATTGAGTCGTGTTTCCGTTCACGGTTACGTTGTGAAAAACATTGCAAGCATAAAGTCTTCAGTGACAGCTTTACCCATGTACATTCTCCCTTTGACCACTTGAGTATAAGTAAAGCTACCAGTGATAATTAACAACTTATAAAAATGTTGTCCCAATTTCGGAATTGATTGAGCTTAATCCATTTCTTGTCAGGTCCCAAATTTTACCATATAATGTATAAATATATAACACATATGTGTACCAAGTTTCATTGCAAAAGTCCTTTTTTCCTTGAAGTTATGGCATCAACTGCAAAACGTTTTGAACCACCTAAGTAATATAATGCCTTTAGTATGAAGGAAATGTCCCTTTGCAGGGCCGTAGGGAGAGGGTTCCATCCCCCCCCAGAAAAAAAGATCTTGCCTAAAAATTCCCACCTTTTCCAGCAATTATGCGAGTTCCTCAAATTTTGAGTTTTTTTGCAGTATTTAATTAATTTATCCTTTCTAATTACCTCAGACATTCGAGCTATATATAATGATGAAAATATGTGAGATGTATAACTTGATCTGAATAAGAAAAAAGACTGAGATTACAAAAAACGTTCTATTTTAATTTGAGATGGGCGACAATAGGTTTTCACCTCGCACTTTAGGCCTGAGATACTGATATAATACCCTCAAAAGGAATTCAGTTGTACAAATAAAGCATACGTATCGAGTAGAAACTGTCTGATTAGGATAAAATGTCAAAATGGTCCCTAATTAAATTAATTTGGAAACGTTTCACCAAATTCACCATTAGGTGGCTCCAAAAAATTTTGCCGAAAATATTCGAATCCCCTCCTATCAAATCCTGGCTACGCCACTGCCTTGGTGTTGTTGTCTAGATATAATTGGAATCTGGTAATGGCACTTTAAATGGTGGGGGATAGTAGTAGGGTATTATGCGCCAGTATTAGATCATGTGCATAGATAGAACTAATAGCGGTATTTTACCTTAGTTACAGAGTTTGAGATGCGTAATTTTACTATAAAGCACGGTGGTATGTTTGTCTTTCTGTCATTCTGTCTGTCCGAACATCTCCTCCTAGACCGTTTGACCTTGGGTCCTCATACTTGGTCAACATACTAAGTGGGTCGATGGGTATTCTACGAAGGTCAGAGGTCAAGGTCATTCCGAGGTTAAAGGTCAGTATCTAGGTATTCGACTTGACCTGGGGTCAAGGTCAACTTTATGGGTCAAGGTCATTCAAAGGTCAATATCTAAGTATTTGTCGTGTTAAGGCACTTGAATGATATGTGACCCTTGGCGACTTATGATTAGGTGACCTGAGGTCAAAGGCAATGTTTATGGGCCAAGTTCATCTCAAGGTCAAAGGTGAATATCTAGGTATTTGGCGTTTCAAGGCCTTTGTGCAAGTTCACCTCAACTTAAGAATCAGTCAAGCTAAAATGCTCCAATTCATCGGCCGGCGCTCGGCCGATTGCGTATTTTGTTCAAATTTGAAGGTCAAATCTCAAACTTGAGGTCAGATATGAACAAAATACTGCAATTGGCCGGCCACAGGCCGCTGAATCAGAGCAAATATGTCCTAGGTTAGCATTTTATGGGAGCTGCTGTCACGTGAGGGCTGCTGTCATGTGGGGGCTGCTGTGACCCTTGGTGAACCACTCAAACGGGTAGATCGCTAGTTACCTATAAATGGCCGAAGATACGAACATCGAATACTATGTTTTTTATCTAACAAACAATGTCATTCACAGATCAATTATCATTTATCAAACTTTATAATGGTGACAACAAAACATTCCTCATTCTATCTTTATAGAAATTAAGTCGTCGAGCACAATCGATACAATAAACGATCCCATGTGATGATGCATAAATTTGCTGAATTTACACATTTTCCATCAGTTTTGATTTGACTATCTACATGATCTAGTCACTCTCATTCTGGATTCTAGATATTCAACATTTTGCCATTCACTGCTCCACTAGCAATCTACGTTGTCATTACCCTCTAGACATATTATGTTGCCCTGGAAATAACAGTTCTTGTTGATGCCGTAGTAGTCACAACGGATGGCATTTTTATTATAAAAGTTGCATACGTTTACGTAGCCTTTTTTGTTAATCTCATTATTTGCACATTACATTTACGTGTTCGTTAGAAACATGTGGATACTGGATAGGGATAGCTATATACGTTTATTTGTTACGCTTAAACTCCCTAGCTAATGTTTTCTTTCATGTTAAATGAGTTGTCATAGTTGGGGTTTGTTTTCCTAGATGATTGTGTATAAGATAATAAGGGAAAGAGGTCATCATATAAATCAATGAACAGTAGGACCATACTTCGATAGGACCTTCTACCCTTTTACACCGGCATATGGCGTTATCCGGGACGTACGATGGCTATACGTCCCGCCCTGGGAATTCCCGTCACAACATATAAACAAAAGACAAAGGTTGTATACGAACTTAGTGAACAAAATTTGAAATTTAAAAAACAAATGCTGCGAATCAATTCTTAGTAAACACAGAAATCGAACACATCGCAAAGAAAACTCGTCTTGGTGTTCAACTTAGCAAGTTAACACATCGGCATATGTACATTATATATTATATGTATAAATGTATGTATATAGAGATTATCCTATATGAGGTTCAGGATATTGGGATTATCCCGAGGCCAATATAATATATTTACCTGAGGGCCGCAGGTCCCGAGGGAAAATATATTTACACGTCGCACGAAACTGGGGACAATTAATTCACAGGGTAGCAAGATCTCGAGGACAATATTTCTAAAATGTTTTTGAATTTTGGAAAACGGTCAAGAAATCCACTTGGGGCGTTGGTAAAAATTGATATGTATGGAATTTGTGGTAGAAAATCGATGCGTCACATTTTTTCAAGTCTCGAAAACCAGCTCTTATTTTAATATTATTTGCAAAATAAACAAACTGGTAATGGTTTTGTAAATTTCGCCATGACAATATTGTGCAGTTAATTTTTCTTTCAAATCAGACTTGAATTAAAAGGTTAAATGAAGGTAAACTTATTGCTCGTCCCATTCCCCTTCAAAAACTTACACAATTTTGAAACTTTTAAAAGCGTTCATATATGATAATTTGAACTGTAGCCGTTAAGCAATTGTGACGTCATAAATGAACATGTTCCATTGAATAAATTGTGAAATTTTAGTGGGATTTTGATCATTATTTCAAAAGTTATCCCAATTTCAACGAGCCCTGTAAGTGTAAGGTGTTACGTCTTACAGCGTATTTGACGATTTTGGGATATGTTTAACTTTAAAAATATGTTGGATTCCATCAAAATTTTGAAGAAAAAATAATTTCACTGAAATGCGAATAAAAAATACTTCAAAATGGTATATAAAACACATAGCTAGCTTTTTAAATAAGGCAGAGATTAACGCTCAAAGCTGAAATCAGCCCGTATTTCCCGAATTGTCCCCAGGTCCGTGCACGTCATAATTATATTGGCCAAGGGATAATCCCAATATCCTGAACCGACTATAGGATAATATGTTTATCCCATACCAATCTTGTTCATCTGGTTCACATTGTTCAATCGTGGAAATATTTTAGAATATTCATGTCCAGTTTTGTTTTCTTGGCCGTGGGCGGATTTTCCTGTTCTCTCAAATATTCCCACATTTATTTTCTCGAATTTTTGATTGATTAAGTGGATGCTCTTTCCTTTTTTAAACCATCAAACAGATCCCGGTTGTCTGTTTTTTCCATTGTAGTTTACAGTCATTACGCGAACGTTACAAATTATGAACAAATATGCGAGCGGCGATTATGACGCAGCGGGCAGATATACTATATCTGCCCGCTCAGAGCGGGACGAAAAGCTATATCTGCCCGCTGATGAAAATATAAGTTTTTACAAACCAGCTTTATGTACCCGTAACACGTCCAAGTATGGGATAAAAATATTTATTAACGTCTCACGCCATATATAAAATAGTACAATAATAATGCAATATCAATTAAAATCTTTGGCCCGGCCGGTGTCGACCTATGGGAGACTTAAAATCATAATTATCACTTGTTAAAAGTTTTTGATTATTAAATTAAAGAACGCCTTTCTAAAAGCATATTAATCAGTGTCTTTGACAATGTCCTTTGTAACATTGGTGTAGTCATAATAGAGCAAAACTGTTGAATAAAATTAAAAGTCTGAAAATCTGGAATTTCCTCAAGGCATTTCAGAAACAATGGAGTTCTAAGTTCATCATAAGAATTGCACTGTAGAAGAAAGTGTATCTCGTCCTCAACAGTGTGATTGTCACAGTGTGATTGTCACAGTGACATTATATATATTAAAACCTCGTCAGGTATGGAATATAACAGTTATGCACGGGCGGTTTTGATACAGGAAATATCCCTTGGGATATAAGTACAATATATCTTTCATTGGTCCCTTCGGGCCCTCGGGAAGATGTATTGTATATCCCTCGGGATATTCCCTGTATCCAAAACCTCCCAATGCATAACCCCTATTTATTCTATGACAAGTGAGGCTTTAGGTATATAGCAGCGGGATATAGAATTCGTCCTGCTGTATAACTCCAATTGTGTATCCCCGCTCCAATATTAATGGGAAAACGTTTTGTTTGAGGTGCAGAAATAGTCAATTTGTTAGAATATCTTGCTATGGAGAAATTGTCAAAATGTTTGCAGCAGGTGGTATAACTTTTCTTGACCAAAATGTTAATGGATTTTTTGAAGATAATGAGAACACTTTAAAGAAAATAAACGTGGGATTGGGTGTCCTGAAGACCTCAC